GAACCCTGTCTTGATCAAAATGAACTTGAACAACTTGGGATCAAAATAGACGTGGATTTTGATCTTTCTGCTTCATAAATACAAAGCATCCATCCTATCCACTCTCTGGGTTCCTTCCCATGGGTAAGAGGGAGGAGAGGCATGGGAACTTCATGATGATGGTTAATTCAACCTTGCTTTTACATAGGTCAGGGCACATGATCACTGGTCAGTTCTGGTGAGTTTTCCCTCTTTACTCTGCTGAGCAGGCAGACTGGACTCTCCCAGTTGGCTGAGTGTTGTCACTTGGGTTGGATGACCCTCTTCTGTCGCCTTGGCAGTTTCATGAGCTTCTTGGACAGGAATAGAAGGTTGGGTGCAGGTCCAGGGTCCCTTGCTTTAAAGCGTAGCACTTCATTCTTCTGTAGTACAAAAACACAATTCAGAAAATGACCCAATCCTCACTTTATGTTACTGACCTAAGAGGTCAAGTCTTATGGTTGCCAGAAACTATACATCAACTGATTTTTTTAAAAATAGTGTGTGTGTATGTGTGTACGTGTGTAGTTTGTATGTGCCTATGTGTGTGGGTGTGCTCACTATGCGTGTACTTGTGAAGAACAGAGGCTGACATGAAGTGATTTCCTCTGTTGCTCTTCACCATATTTTTAGATGAGGCCTCTTTGAACAAAGCCAGGCCTCCCCATTTCAGCTCTCCCGGGGCTGGAAAGTCACCAGGATCTACCTTCCCTGCCACCCCTCAGCACTGGGATTGCAGACACATGCTGCCTCCCCAGTCTTGTGTGTGGGTTCTGGGTACTTGAACACAGGTCCTCAGGCTTGCACAGCCAGCTAGCATTTTACTGTCTAAGCCATCCTTTCCATCCAGTGGACTCAGCAGCTTCATAGGGGGCTGCCTTGCAAAGAAGTGGTCCCCTTGCTGGAAGCTTTACATTAAAAACAAAAAAAGCCAATGCAGAAGACGTAGAAAATAAAAACCTCAGAGGTGCTACTGCCCCACAGTTTGTACATCCCCTTGTATTTTACAAGCTGCAAACACGTGCGTACTTCTGTTTATTTCTATACGTGGCTTCACACCGTCTGGGCTGTCTGTCCCGTGTTTGGTTTCACTTCTTATTCTTCGCTGCACATTATAAAGTCTAATCCCACCACACAACGATCAATTATAAACATCCTCCTTTCCAGCTAGGCTGTAACCACAGAGAATGGGTGTCTTAGACTGGGGGGGAGGGGTGCCCCGGAATCATTGGGAGCCCAGGCTATTCCTTCCCTGGCTTCACTGAAGTCTCCCTGCGCTGTCCCCGTGTATCTTTGGGAGTGGATATTGATCTGTTCTCCCCATCGCTCTGTCTCAGTGTTTGGAGCAGGATCCTGGCACCAGGAAGGTGGGGTGGAGAGACTGGGAGATGGGGAGGAGCTCAGGGAATGCAGTCTATGGACAAGACATGGGCTGATGCACTCACGAGCTTGTAGAGACCGTGGTTACCTGCATAAAATCTGGAAGGTCAAAGATCAGGCGTGGGCTAGTGTGGGGAGGGGCTCTGGAGGTCCCGTCCATAGCTATTGGCAGTTGGTAGCTGTTGGGAGAGGGAGATGGCCTCTTCTCTGGGGCCTTGACCTCTGGTGGGTTCTGTGCTCCAGAGGGTGATCCCACACTGTACACATATGGGCAGTACTAAATGAAATCAGTAGTTTAGGAGTGACAGGGAAAGAAAGAGAGGGGGGTAGGAGAGGGGGATATATATATATATATATATATATATAGAGAGAGAGAGAGAGAGAATATGAAGTGGTAAGAGAATATGTTGGGGGGCCCAGAGAGAACTGAAGGGAGAGAGTGGACATGATCAAAATGTATTGTATACACATGAAGTTTTCATATAATGAATCCAAATGATTATTAAAATATTTAATAAAAACGTTATTAATTCAGCAGAAGAAAAGTTATTATCCCCCCAATGTCATTTTGAATTTCTTTGACTCTAATGAGATTTCATCTTTCCCCATATCATTTCAATGTTTGTGTCCTTATTCACTTTTGTTCTGTTTGTTTCACTCCTTTTCAAATAAAATGAGCAGAATCTTGGAGCCATGTTTGACATGTACTGAGGACTTTTCATTGGCCTTACAGATTCTGCTTTATTTTAATCAGTTATAAGCATTTATTTACCATGTTTCTTATAAGCATACTCATGCACACTACACTTTACATCTGCTACACATGTTGAAAATATTTTCTGTTTATTAATTTATTTCATAACTATTTTATTTCTATCTTGTCACATCCCCACAGTATTTGTTTTTTTTTTAAAAAAAAATATTTGGCTTCTATCTTTCAAGCCAATTTACCTTTGAAACTGAGTGGGTTATAGCTAAGACACGTTTCAAACTCATGCAGTATTTATGGGATGAATTGAATCTTGGAAAATACCAGCCAACTAAATTATATTATTAAACACAATCCTATTTTGTTTGTGACTTACACTTTCCAGGCAGTTTGCTCTGTTTCTGGGATATTCTGAAACCCTTCCTCTGGCAGATGGATGATAGTAATACACCTATTTTTCTAGACACAGTTAACAGTATCAAGCAAACAAGGACTGGAATATATTTTGCATTCATTTTCAGGATGCTGTGCGTTTGGCTCCTTCTTTGGGAATCAGAGTGGAATGATTGTGGAGATGACTACTGACAACTGCGACGCGCACAGGCTGTCTGACCGCAGCCTTCAGGGCTCACTCCCTGGTCATTCTCCGTTTACCGAGGTTCAGGTCCGTAGAGTAGGGTGACAGGATGGCTCTCTGCCCTCTTCCGCCTGCACAGGGTGGCAGAGTGATCCATCATTCCACGTCTTTTCTCCTTCTGAAAGCACAAGAATGTCCGATGCCGAGGCCCCCGTGGACCCCTGGATACTCTGCTGGTAACTGATGGAGAGAGGAGGATGCCAGCCCAGGAAGTGTGCATCCTGGGCCAAAGGTCCTCCCCCTCCCGCTACAGCTCCCAGCCCAGCAGCACCAGTCCCTGACTTTGAGTGGCAAATTACAGTCTGCCTGTGTAATAGCTCTCCATCTTATTTATTCATTTTTTGAATTCCTAAAAAATCATGGCAAGAAGATCAGCATGGCCCCCTGCCCCCCGCACTGTGGAAGTTTGATAATGTATGTCCTAACCGCTTAATTGATTGATTACCTCGCTCCAGCTTCCTGAGGTACCAAATTTATCTCTAATAGCCAGCGTCAGGCTCGGCAGGCAACCGTGGGGGGGACGGGGGTCCCTTGGTGTCGATTTGCTCTTAACTGGAAAGTCATTACCACTTAATACATGTAGATTGTGTTGAAAGAAAATTATGTGTAATGAAATGAGGGGAAAATTAGTGGAGTGTTATGGGCGAAAGCAGATGTTAGGGAGGAATTATGCTAGCAGAGATAATCACCTTCGCTGGTATTGTGTGTGCTGGGGTGTTAACTGAGGGAGAGGCTGGGGGATTGCTGAGGCGATGTATTGTTGGGCCCCGATTTGCCCCTGGAACCTCGACGAGGAACTGTCCCCATCAAGGACTCGGATGCTGGACCTCTGTAGCGGGGCTTACCCACATCTGTGCCTCTTTCTCTTTGGTTTCTTAAGGTGCTTAGACCCAAAGCATTTTACCTGCTGGTGCTTAGAAAGGCAGCAGCATGGGGTTGCCCAGGAGGCCGGGGGACAGCAATCCACTTTCATTCTTACGTTTAGCTGGATCTGTTCAAAACATGACAACCCCAAAACAAAATCCGAGCAATGAAACGCAGCAAAGCAGCGAATGACAAGCGGCTGGGAGACCTTTTGTAAACAGTCTCATCCCACATGGAGACATTTAAGGGTGCTCGGGGAAAATTAGATCCCATGTTTTGGTTCCTAGGATGCTGGGGAAAGAGAGTCAGGCATTCACTATCCCCACCTTTCTGTAGTTCCTGCTAGTCCCAAGGCAAATCAGAAATAGAAGTTCCCGTGCATAGTCACAGCTACAAGGAGCTAGAGGGAAATCTGGCCCCCAGCACAAGGTCAGCCAAATGCATCGTAGCCCCCACAGGACTCTGAGATTCTAGAGTGTAAATGCTATGAGGCGGCACCACACGATGACCTATGCTCTCAGTGTTAGGGTAAGCAAGCATGTATACGTATTAGAGCGTGCCTCTTGAGATCTGGATGAGACTTAGGGTAAGGCTGCCCCCGTGGCCTGCGGCAGTGCATGGAAACACTTGGATCAGTTGTGGTACAGCAGTAGAGAGCTTGCCTCGAATCCCAAGGCCAGTGGTCCCATCCCAAGCATTGCAAAAAGCAGAGGGGACATAGACGGGACTGAGTGTCCTAACTGGAGTTTCGGGTAGGAAAGCATGTGATGCCCCAGGCACAGTTCAGGGTCTCCTGGTTCTCAGCAAATGAAAAGGATTGTGGAAAGCCACAATGAGGTGTCCCAGACATGCCAGTTCCGGGCACACAGGTTAGGAGTAAGTCCATTCTGTGACAGTGTCAGGTGAATAAACTCTCAAACCAGTGTTCATCAGCTTGACAACAAATACCTCCGATGCACTGTATACAGTGCCTGGTGCCTTTAGGGGCTCACTTGATGTTCATTGTTCATGAGAATGACTGTTAGGTTTTGACAAAGAAGTATAGATGCTAAATTACATATAATAGATAGGTAAGTATATATAGAGACATGCAAATAGGTAGGCAGGCAAGCAGACAGATAGGTATAGATAAAATATAGAAATTATTTAAAATTCTTTTAAATTGTTCTCTAAGTAGCACATCCATTCATGGGCTTGTCTTAGACACTTACTGCAGCAATTCTCCAAATGGACTGCAGAATTTTGTGGGTCATGACAGGAAGATGCATTACTACTTGAGATTGGCGAAGGTTCATCCTTTCCACAAAGCACATTGACTGTGTTCTGTAAAGGATTGGCAGAAAGTCAAAGGACCAAGGTTTTAGTAAACAAATTTCATTTTCATTTCTCTAGACTGAAGGTGTCATTATAGAAAGCACGTTCTACCACAAGGGCCATTGCCGGGAGTACCTAACAATCCAGCTGCAAATGGTAAGGACTTTCCTCCAATCAAAGGTAAATGTTAAGACAACAACCCTCTCGGTTCATTTGAGAGCTGGCGCTCATCCAATTCTGGTGAGACCCCATGGTTCAGTGGGGGCTGGGAAGTTGGTATGAGTGCTTCAGAGGGTTGGGTTGGAGCCTTGGTGGTGCTTGTGGCTGAAGCGGACTGGACTGTAGGTCAGAGGATTAAGATGAGGAGGAGAGAAGTCTCAGTGAGTAAAGCGCTTGCTGTAAGACCACGAGGGCCTGAGCTCAGATCCCCAGAGACTACATAAAAACTAGACATGACAATTTGTGTCCGTAATAGCATTGGAACAGGACCCTGGGGGCTCCCTGGTCAGTCATCCTAGTCAAAACAGAGCTCCAGACTCAGTGAAATACTTTGGCGTGAGAAGTAAGGTGGAAATTGAGGAAGACACACAATGTTGATTTCTGGCCTTCACTTATGCTTGCACAGGTGCACACACCTGAGAGTAACTAAATAAACTAATGAATGAGAAGATAACTAAATAAATAAATCCAATGCTCAGAAAAAAATCTGGAAGACAGAATTTAATAAATACAGCACACATTCTGTACATACCACTGCCGCCGCCGCCACCACCACACCACACCACCATTTACACCACCACCACCACCACCACCACCACCACCACCACCACCACCACCACCACCACCACCACCAAACATCATCCATAATCTGTAAAGGTAAAGCACCTGCTGAAGTAGTCTTCCATGGAGCATCTGTGTGTGTGTGTGTGTGTGTGTGTGTGTGTGTGTGTGTGTGTGCACATATATGTTTGCCTGTGTGTGCACATGTAGATTTGTATGTGTCCATCATCTTTAAGAAGTTCCTGGTGAGCAGCTAAGTGAATTAATTCACTGGAATTTACAGGACCAACTCCAAGGTACAGGGTAACTGCAGAGTTTTGGCGTTACAATCCAGCAATGGACAGCCATGTATAGTGTGCAGTGAATCTCTGATGATTTGCTCTCAAGGGAAATTCCTAAAACATGTAACCATGACATGTCATGTGTCTGTTATATAGATAGGACAGGCATTGCAATTAGGAGCCTCAGAATGAAGTTCAGGTAAGAAAAAGTTGGCACTAAAATGCATTAGTTGTCTTTGCAAAAGTAAACAACAGCAAGAACCGAGCTTGCAACACTGACTTCTTAAAACCTAGGAGCTACCCATCATATGTAGACCCAATACTTTGGAGGAGGAAGTGGAAGAACCAGGAGTTGAAGGACACTCTCAGCTACACAGAGACTTAAGGCCAACCTGGACCCTGCCTCAAAACAAAGGAACAACACTCACATGTCCTCACTCTGTATGCAAGGCCTACATCATGAACTATCTCATTCTAAACATCTAAGAAGTCCCCCCAAACTCTATCTCTTTAACAGGAAACTGTCTTTGCACACTGACCAATGCAGCAGACACTGAGGAACCTGCCGTGATTTCGTTGTGAACAAATACCCAGGACAGAGAATTTAGTAAGAGCCTTCAGGTTAGATCCTAAAAAAGATCTGAATCTGCCCATGTTCTGGGTGATGTTCAGTTCCTCCTTTGAGCCTGTGGATTTCTTTTTTTGACAATGGGAACAGTCAAGAAGGCTGGGCACTCTCAATGGAAACTCATCTGTACTGGGGGACATTTCCTGTCTTAGGGATTCTGGGAACTTGGTGAGGGCTGTGGGGAGACCCATGTTCACATGTCACATGTCAGATGGACACCTGCTTTTGCTGGTGTTGTTTAACTATGGTACTAGTTCTCCTCATGTGTTAGGTGAGAGTGAACATACCTGCCTTTTTAGGGTTTCCTGAGAAATCGTCAAAATATTTTTAAAAGATAGACCCGTGCAGAGCCTGGCACACAGTAAGGACTTATGCTGGAATTAGAATGTCTCTACCTTTTTTTTCAGTCTTTTAAACTTTTTATTTATTTATATTTGTGTGTATTCATGTGTGTGAGTGTGGTCTGTGCATATGTGTGGTGTATGTGTATATGTATGTGTGGGAGGATGCCCCTGTGGACATACATAGAGACCAGAGGGCATCAGATGTCCTTCTGTCACTTTCCACCTTATGCTCTAGAGACAGGGTCTCTCACTGAACCTGGAACTAGGCCAGGAAGCCCCAGTGATCCTTCTGTCTCTGTCCCTATTATTCCCAGTTTACAGACATACAAAGGCCACATCTGGCTGTTTACATGGGTGGTAGGATTGGAACTCAGGTCCTCATGATTGCTCAGCAAATGCACTCACCCTCTGAGCCATCCCTCCAGCCCCCATCTTTAACTCTTTAAACCCATAAGTAATATCCACAGACCTTGTGAACATGCCAGTCATCAGCTTCACAACTGAGAGAGCTCTCCAAGAGGAGACCGGCTCACTCTTCACCCATCTCTCCACCAAGAGGAAAGCTGACTCTGGAAACCATTGGAAAACCATGATGGATGTCCTAGTGACTCAGAGAATAATTAAATCCTCAGTCCTGGATGCAATTAAGCAGAAGGGGTGCAGTCATGGCACACGGCTGTTATTATTTATAAACACTCAAAGGCAGCAGGCAGCTAACACCCCGGGTCTGCCCACTGCCCATCACTCACTGTGGAGTCTGCGTGTGAAGCCGTCTTCCTCCCTCTTCTCTTTACTTAGAGAAGCAGCCAGCTACCATAAAGGCAGAGAAGGGCGGAGCCTTGGATCTGTGGAGAGGTGTCCTGCTTTTCCTGCCTGGGTCCTGGTTTACCAGCAGATGGGATTGAAGTGTCCTGGGGCAGATGCATTTATTTGTAAGCCTCACTGCTCGGGGTTTGAAAAAAGAAAGACCCTGGGTTTGACTCTTTAGATACCACCTTAGGAAGGAGATCAGGTAAGACAGAGACTACACAGGCACTGTGGGCTTTCTTACCATGAAAGGAAACATGAGGAAAGTCTTCAGCTGGTGGTGGGCCCAAAGTGCAGGAGAATTCCTCTCCTTTCTCTCGGAAAGCAAACTGATTCCTGTCGCCTTAGTTTTGTTTCTCTGTTTGCTTTCAACATGGTGTGAAAACTTTGCAACATAATCCAGGACTGAAGTATACTCCAGTCTTCCTTTTCTGTATAGCACTTAATACTTAGGTACACTATCATGACTCTGAGATGCTCTTACACCAAAAGCTCCCAAATGTCATGGTGCTTCATTCTCCTATTTACTAGTTTCTCTTAGAATAGTTCTTTAAGGTCTTTGGTCCTTCTTTTCTTGGTTGGCCAGTTCCCCAAGTTTATAATGCGACTCATATCAGTGACCTCATCTGCTCTCCTTCAGAACAAGCCTAGAACCAGGTGATCATCAGGCTCTTCACTGGTTCTGAATTGAGCCCACGGTAAAGGACTGGGACTTCATTCAATTTCCATTGTGAACAACACAATACAGCATACTAGGTTTGTTATAAAGAAACAGACTTGCTTGCCTCATGATTCTGGCTCAAGGACAGGGAATTGATGGTAGCTGTCCTGCTGGCAGATTTTTTCAGTCAGCTCAGGGCATCCAGGGGCAGAGATAGGGAATGAGCAGAGGATGATGGAAAACTAGCTTTTATAGTAAACCCATTTTGCTATAATCCATTAGAGACAACCCATTAAGCCATCAATCTGTGAATCACATGAATAGACCAGCCATTCATGAAGGCATAGCCCTTCGACCTTTCACCTGGTCCTACCTATTAATAACTCATAATGGCGATTAAATGTTAACATGAGTTTCTTGGAGGCTGGGGCAAGCCATATCAAACCTTAGCAGCTTTATGCATGTTTGATTAAACACCCTGACTCTTGGGAGACACTTTCAGTTTCTAGACTGTGCTCTGCAGGGTTGACAATTCCCAGCAAACCTTAGATAGCAGTGTTCATCCCTGAACTAAGAAACAAGGCAGCATATCGGCCTCTGTTACTCATTCATAAATATTCACACCATCTCCATTTCTGAAGAGAGTTTACACTTCATCTCTTTGGCACTGAAGTTGATGGCCTGATTTGCTTTGGCCAATGGGATATAAAACAATGTAATGTTTACTATGTCTAAGGGAGAGCTTTTAGAGGCAACAAGAATGCCTGCCAAACCTCTATTCCACTGCCTTGAACAAATAACATGGATTAACCTGTGCCTTACAATGTGAAGAACTGGGGAGCAGAGCTAAGTTCCACCAGCTGATTAGAGGGGTTTCTGAGGACAGAGCTACAAACTTCAGCCTACTCAAGCTTTACATACAATATGGACAACAATTGAGGACTGTTTGTTACTCAGCACTATTCAAGCACAGCTGATAGATGCAGATAAGAATGTGACAGGCACCTGTCACAAGATAAAGTCCATAAAAGCATCCGAAAGTATTTAGCTTTAATTCTAAGTGATAGGACATAATTTCTAGATAGATAATATCTGAAGTGCAGGTCAAGCGTTGTGGTAGGAAAGGTAAATTTGCTTAAATGTTGACAAAACATTTGATGCCAATTCAAGTATGTTGTCTTTAAAAAGTACAAGAGTCTGCCTGTACAATGGCTCCACTAGAAGAATATGTTCAATGTACAAGTCCCCTGTGGTGGTTTGAATGAGAATCCCCGCCCCCCACAGGCTCATATATTTGAAAACTTGGTCCCCAGTTGGTTCCCCTCTTTGGGAAGGATTAGAAGGTGTGGCCTTGTTAGAGGAGGTGTGTCATTGGGCTTGGGCTTTGAGGTTTCAAAAGTCTGGGTCATTTAGTCCCTCTTTCCGTCTTGTGCTTGTATATCAAGATGTAAATTCTCAGCTACTACCCTAACACCATGCCTGTCTATGTGCTTCCATGCTCCCCATCATGATAGTCCTGGATTCTAAGCCCCATATAAACTCTCTCTTCTATGAGTTGCCTTGGTTGTGGTGTCTTCAGCGCAATGGAGAAATAACAAAGACACATTTACTCATGTTATTGTTGAGAATTTTGGTTCTGTGGTAGCACGGAGCTTGTGAACTTGGAGTCTTATCTTAACTTGCTTTCAATTATTTGGAATTCAATCACTGATCTATAAATCCAGAGTCCTGGAACTCCACTCAACTGGAAGGAAACACACGTGCTCACCTCACTCAGTATCCACACACCCTCCCCTCTCCTCCCTTCCTTTTCCCTCCCCTGCCCTTCCTTTCCCTTCTCTTATCTCCCCCTCTTTCTTTTTCTTCCCTTCCCTCCTCTCTGTTCCCTTTTCTTTCTTTCTTTCCTCTCCCTCCCTCATTCCTCATTTCTTCCTTGAACTACATATGATACATTTGCTGTTTACATGCTTCAAGATCATGTAAATATGTGTTCAACATTTTTTTAACAACCAGAACATAGGAAGACAGTAATTACACTGACATAATTGGAAATAGGCATCTGTGTCTAGAAAACATCCCTCCTCTGAGACTCTTGGAGCTCTCCTCCCCTGCTGATAACTTCTGTACATTCCCATGCCTTCCATGTGGGCTTTGTCCCAAGTCAGTCCTGATCCTTTAAATATAAGGGAGAGCAACCAAGTGGATGGGTCCACAAATGATCAGACTTATCCGTATGACTGGTGGGTCTCTAGAAGATTCTTCATAAATGGGAGGCAAGAGGAGAAAGGGAATTTAGGTTTGATAATGAGGAATGGAGTTAACTAAAATGTGCAGGGCTTTGCCCTGTGTTCATGAGGTATCTGCTGATAGCTTGAATCCATAGTGCTATTTCTTGGCATAATAAATAACAAGCATTCTTTTCTGGTTGGCAGAAATTTGGAGATAAAGAATTCTTTACAGCATGAAATAACTTTTAATGCATTAGTGTTTTGGATTTCTGAATCTCAATTTCCCTCTTTTCTCCCCATCTCATTTTGTTATAAAATCTTTATGACACTTTTAAATATTAATTATAAAAAATACCCTACCCCCATGCAGGTGGCATCAGTTTGCATCAGTTTGTTCTTATAGAGGAGGAAACTTGATTTTAGGAAGTTGAATCCAAGGCTTAACCAAGGTTGGAGAGTTACTAACTAGCCAGTAAGACTGAAATTCACTAGTAGGGCAACATCTTCTTCTACTTAAACCACTTTCCAAATGTTCTGATGTCTGATAGAACATTTAAAGTTATACAACGAAATGAGATGGGAGGAGAGAGGAAATCAAGATTCAATTAATCAAGACATTAACATATTTGAATTACTTTATCTTAGTTATCACATTCCCCCCAATATGGCTGCATCACAGATGCATACCCTGTTTGTCTGGGAGTTCCACACTTTCATTTTATCTCTTCTCACTCATACAATCTTCAGACATCAGTTAATACTTGACTGAAATAGTGACATACTGCAGTGGTAAGTGTTCAGACTGAAATGAATGTGGTACCTGAGTGATGGCTACTGTGATGGGTCTGTCCAATAGAGCTCATCAACCACAGCGCCAATCTAAAGAAGAGTTGAAACCCTTAACTTTTTGAGCAACAGCAGCCAGGCTTCTTCCAGAAGGTCTTCAGCTGGGATGACCGGTTTGTGTGTGTATGTTTGTGGCTATGTGCTGTATGTTTATGGTTAGCATGATGTGTGTGTGTGTGTGTGTGTGTGTGTGTGTGTGTGTGTGTGTGTGTGTGGTGTTGCACGCATGAGGAGGTACACATGCTGGTTGAGGCCAAGCAGGGCTCAAGTGTCTTTCTTTATCTACCTCAAGTGTCTTTCTTTATCTACCGCCCTCCTCCTTGTGACCGTTAGGCAGGGTCTCTCACTGAGCCAGCTTCTCACCTTCTCAGCTATGCTGGCTGCCTAGTGAGCTTTCTGGAGCTGCTTATCCCTCCCAATATTGGGCTTATATGCTTGGGAAACCATGTCTGTCTCTGTGGGTACTAGAGATTCAAGCTAAGGTCTTCATGTTTGCAGGGTAGATCCTTTATCCAGGGAGCCACCTCCCCAGCCCTGAGCAATTGGTTTTTGATGTTCCAATCTGTGTTGGCTTGTCTGGGCTGAGTGCCTCATAAAGACAGCAAGGCCATCTGATTTCAGGGTCAAATCACATGGCCTCCTTAACCAGGCACAGATTTGCTTTAATGAATCTCTGCAGAGTGACTCATCCAGGATTCTCTTAGCATCCCTTTTGTGCCTGGTCCAGATGTGCATCTAGAACAGGTTCAGTTCAACAATTTCAAAGGGTGGACGCCCACTTTGCACATATGATTAATTCTACATGCGCCTAATTATACCCACAATTGGCTAATTGCATCGACAATTAGCCAATTGCAGGCCCAATTGGCCACTTGTCCCATAATTTGAAGGTGCGAGTGGACAACTGAAGGAACAATTAGATGCATGCCGAGTTTTACATATTTAAAGAGGAGGCTGGGAGGGAGTGCAGTTCAAAATGCAGTGTGGTCTTGAGTGCCAAGCAAAGTATCCATGGGTGTGGGTCTCTCGGGAAGAAAGGGGAGGTTACTTAGTTTTTTCCATGCAATTTCCAGAGCCAATGTCGTTTGTTTATTTCCTAAATATCTATGAAACAAACCTTCACTTTGGATTTCAAAGAACTAAGTCCTCAAGCCTGAAGTCTATGTGTTGCAAGGGGTCCCCACAAAAGCAAATGCACCTCCATGGAAAATGCTGAATGCACTAAGCTTGGAGTGCTTGACTCTTCACATTCCCTCTCCTGTTGATTTCCACTGCCTTTGTCTGGAAAGTTCTTCCCACCTCATCTCCTCAGGAGACCTAGAAGAATGGACCACTTTCCTTCCCAAGTCTGTATTATCACAATGAGGAATCACAATGCTCCCAAATGCAGCTACTTTTGCCCCCAACCCCAAAATCTATGAGTACGCTTACCAGTACCCCCCTTCCACTACCTTCTTGGGTGCCTCGGCCCAGGAAGCCCAAATCCAGAGTAAGAGCTTAAAGACGCCAGAAATCCTTTGCAAAAGCACACATTGTAGACACCCAGGGAGGCACATGCCATTCATGGGCACTGAGAAGGCTCAGGTGAGCCTCATGTGTTCAGCGGTCTTTAACGGCACTACAACTTCACACGAAACGTACTTGCTATGGTGTCCCTCATTTCTGTAGTTTATGTCTTCAGAGACTTCATTCCTTCATGGACTTGCCCAGAGGCTAGCCAAACAAGAGTTCAGATACCAGGAATACCTACTCTAAAGCAGAGCACTGAAACCAGGAGAAGATGCCATGGTGCCCAAGGCTCTCACCCACTGTGTGGTCTACGAAACACAAGTCTGGGCAGTATTTTCTAAGAGTGAAGAATTGCACAAAGATGAATAGGGACACCAGTAGAAAGCAGGAAGACCAGCAATAAAAGATTTCTCAAATATCCATTGAGCTCCTGTTTTAACCCATTGATATTTTAAGTGTAATTGACCATGGAATAGATTATAAATATCAGTGATATCACAATGCAGCATTAAGCATTGGACCCTAACTTAGCAGTCAGTGGTGCTGACACACACCTTAGATCTTATGACCTAATTTTTTTCTCATAAGAATATTTTTTGAGAACTGCTTTCAGGGCTAGAAAGTTGAACCCCATTTTGAATTTGCATCTCAGCTCTATCTACTAGAGATAGTTCACTCAATACTATGACCCTCAGGATCCCTGTTTATATAGTAAGAGCTGAATCTGGAGGACACCAAGATCCTTCCCACCCTGGTACCCCAAGAAAACAAGAGGCTGAACACAAATAATGATTCCCCAAATGCCTCCCCTCTTTTTACTCAGTCTTTAAAGCTTAACACTCCAGTATTCAGAAAATAAGATGTCTAGTTCTAAATTAGTTCATCATCCCTGGATCTCTCAGCTTCCCCCAGTGAAATACCAGGGTCAATAATACAACCAAACACACTCCCTATGGAAGCCCTGTGGGCAGTCTACCACTGTTTCCACTCAATCATCTGGAACAGTTTGTAAGAACATAGCCAGGAGCTTCGTCAATGGCTATTGTACTGATCAGTCATTATTGGTATTAATTGTCTTCTACATCCTGCTCACCCACAGATCATGATAATGAACCTATGCTGTGTCCCCTGCATTACAGCAGCAGATTTCTGTTCTGCTAAACTTGGGGTTTTGCTTGGAGGGGAGACTAGCAGTGCTGGCCTTCGGGCCGTGCCAGGAAAATGTGTGGGCCAGATGGCAATCCGAGTTGGTCTGATAGAGCGTTTCTATTTCTGTGGATTTTCAAAAGCAAACTGACAGGCACGAAGAAAAGTGGTGACTCATAGCCCGCAGGCCCTTGACTTCCAGCTTCTGAGATGCAATTTCCTATTGTCCTGGGAACCCCATCTCTGCAATGACACAACCTCGCATCTCCCATTGCCATCGTCACCACTGGCGTCATCATCATTATGGCTGTTATCACAGGCACTTCACCAGGTACCTGCTGTGAGCTCAGGCCGATATTTACTATCTATTAAAATAAGCAGATTTAGTATAACTGCCTTGTGATGCACTCACACGTCTTTCCTCCCATTCCATCTCTAGGTGAAGGTACTATGATTCAAGGAGATGAAGCAATTTTCTTACAACGAGAAAGAGATGAAGATGTTGAGGGCCTGAATCTAGGATGTGTTTGTATCGTCTCAATGATGTTTTTCAAAGTGACAATATCTCAAAGGTTGTAATTCTCCTGTAGGCAGCCACTACCACATGTGCACACATGTGCATATGTATATATGCCCATGCACAAATGCACACGCATGTGGGTATTATAATTATACTCTTCAGATGGACTGATGGACTATAACACTGGGTCATTGTGTAAATGTTTTTCTGGCTTGTACCTCCAGCAAAGTTTAACCTTGTTCCAAAGCTATGCTTCTTACCTTTGTAAAATAAGAGAATAATAATGTTACTTCCAAATTTTCATTATGTAAATACAGATCTGGGGGCTGGAACATGAGCCATGGGCTGAATGAATCTTAGATTCTAGAGTCTCTGACTCCTGGGTCGACAATATTCCATAGGCCATGCCCCACAGAGCAGGCGAGTCTACATTTCTTATCACAACCTGACCTTACCCTTCTCATGTTGCTGACAGTTTGATGTTAGGAAGGCAGATCTAGATAAAAAGGCGTTCTCATGCCAGTAAAATCAGGAACATGTGGGGATGGGAGAAGTCTGAGTTTCTCAAGTGATATTTGGGTATGAGGTTGGATGGCAAGGAGACTCCTTCTCTACCAAGCTTCCATCAGACTCGAGGGCTTTGGACTGACTTCAACTGTGATGATCCACAGCCTCAGAAAAATTTCACCTGTGGTCATCAGAGCAGATGGGGAGGCCACGTGATAGAGCCCGTCTTGGTAGTGAGATAGTAAAACACTAAACATTATTTTGGAGCACATTCTAGAAGGGATTGGCTTATTTTTAGATACTCACTGAGTTGGTTTTACAAAATGAACATTCCATTTAAAAATGTATTATCAAATTAATAGCATAACAAGTTTTCAGGGGAGGTTTATTAGAGTCAAATATTTTAAAAGCTGTCATTTAAACAGAAACGGTTGTTAAATTGAGGAGATAATTAGGTACCTGAAATTAATCAAAGTATGTTTTTTAAAAATAAACTATATTTGACTCACTGGAGATATATTTCAGCCTTGTCTGTTTCCCTAGAATATACTAAAAATTGAGAATTTTCCAAACTAATCTGCAACATTGCCTTTGGCCATTAAAATCTAGTTCTGTCTTTCACAAGGTAGATTCTGCAAAAGAAATGTACCCCTAAATTAAAATTCAACCTATGAGATATAGGGAGCCAATAGATATCAATATACAATATATGATGATGCTAAATTGAATACTTTAATTTTCTTCTAGTAACCACTTCTTTCCTATTGGTTTTACTCTATTCCATTTTGGGTGGGGGAGAGGGGTTGGCTGTTTCTACCTGTGATATGTACCACAATTATACCAGCTTAGTGGGCTATGGAAATTTAAGAGCTAGCATAACAAGGTTGGGGCTACTTTGCTTGTATGAACCGAAGAGAGGAATGAGTTGAAATTTAGTTATGCAAGAAAATACCCATAAGCACCTGTTTTTTGTTAGGTAAGGAGATCGCTGAAAATGCGCATGTCAGAAAAGAGGAAGAGACAGAACACAGCAGCAAGAGCAAACATTCTGGCCCAGAGGAAATATCAAGAGGGACTGAATCCTGGAAACAAGCACAGAGCAAGACAAGAGAGTGAGGAGGAACTGGGAGAATGGGGATGATGCTTACCTGGGAGATGGGGGATGAAAAGGGTGCCTCCATTTCCAAATAGGAAATACAGTCAGTCCTGTTGATCTCTCATATTTCAATATTGACTTAATTTTTAGGTTTCTAAACAATTTCAGTTTTGCAGTAGATGGGATGAAGAAGGCAGCACAGGCTTTTTGAAGGGTCCACATCCCTTTCCTGGTTAAGGAAAAATGTCCCGGGGTTCACATACAAGTAGGACACAGTTCTTCCTAGCATGGGAACTGGTTAGACTCAGTGGTCCTGCCCTCAGCCACCTGCAGCCCTGGAGAAAGTCCTGACCCATTCCATGTAGGATGCATTCATTATGCAAACAACCGAAGTCCACACTGCATCCGTCAACTCAGCTAGTAGCATGCTCGTTTCCTAGCCCCATTTGTACAATTGGCTCTGCCTCAGTTATGGCTTCATCTTTTTATTTATTTACTTATTTATTTTGAGTTGGCAGAGTAACCCCCTTCCCAACTCCTTATTCTCTTCTCTCAGCCTTAATGAACTCACTTGTTTCTTTTCTAATTTCTTGGTCTGTGGTTCAAAATCTCAGAGAAGTATGCCGTCATGTCAGAGCTACAAAGAGGCGAAGGAAGGAGACACTCAGGTCTGGTGAGGCCATCAGAGCTGGTGTTTTTGAGATGACGTGGTGCCAAGTGTCACTCTGGAGCTCTCAGAGACCACAGGACCACTTAGTCCAGGACTTCTCAAATCTAGTCCATTCCAGGATTACTTTAATCTCTTCTATAAACAATGAAGATTTCTAGGCTTAGGGACAGAACAGCGTCGACTCTGCAGAGAGAAACAACAGCATACAAATGCAGACAGGAAAGCCTTCCCTCCTCAGTGCTGTCTGAGCCAGCCAAGGTGAAGGACCTTGGAACTGCTTCCACTTCCTCTCCATAACCGTGAACCACAGGGCACACAGGGAGGAGACTATCGCTGGACAAAGCAGGAGCCTTTTTGTACTGAGACCGAATCTTTCTAGATTGCTTCCCTTCCCAACTCAGCCTCGCTTTGACTTTCCCGTGGTACAGATCACCTCAGACAAGCTACCATGTCCTTTCTGAACTCGCTAGAGCAGCTGCTAGACCACAGTAGCTCTCTCACTAGCAACCATGTCTAGCTCCTTGTGGGTACTCAACCGATAAACTATAGTTCATCTTGACCTTGCAATAGAAAGACCTTCCCTTATGGAGGCTTCTATTTCCCTTTCTAAAACTGGACTTAGTGGGCTGCCCCTCCCCCATGTCTGTTCCAGTCCAAGCCTCTATCCATATTTAAAACCAGAAAGTGTGAGGAAGGCTTACAGACAGGCTGACACACTCCAGGAAGAATTGTGGTCACAATTGCGTAGTGTTGATTGTCTTCTATCCTGCCTTCCCATCCTTTTCCCTGTGTAACACTGCCCCATTATTTCCCTCCCCCCTACCTCCTACCCCCGTATCACTATGGACTATCTCCCTCTTGTTGTTGGTCTGCGGTGTCCTAGAGATACCCCAGAAAACACCAGCCATCGGTGTTGCTCTTGACTGCTTACAAGCCCTTGAGAGTAGGACCCTGTTGCTGAAAACACCATATACTTGGGCTGCAGGAGGTAGAGAATCCAAGTTGGGCCAATCAGGAAGTTTCCTTCATGGGACACCAAGGTGCTATGCAGGCTGCTTGGGGGTCAGGAGTAACCAGTAGTCTTACCTAGATGTGAGTCTTACGAACTATCATAACGAACAGGTCAGAAAGACATGCCCATGCGTGAAGCAGTGGCCTGAATGTTAGAGAGGTAACCAACTGCTCTTTTATTGTATTTAAGGCCAGCTTCACAGGAGGAAATCAGTGTCTGAGATTGTAAATCTTGCCAAGATCACTTGATAGGGGAGTTCATAGGCCCCTAGGGTGAGCCTAATACTATTATTTCCACTGAATTGACACAATTTCATACTTCGCTCTAAATTCTTACCAACATATCCCCAGATCAGGGACATTCCCAGACTCTCAGGGAGTTGTTTTATGCAGTCAATAGAGATTAACACAGAAACTCACAACTGGTGAAAGCGTAGACATAAACATCTGTGGGGTTATCAGCTACAAATGGGGCATCTGTATTATCTCTCCTCCCTCAAGGCTTGGGGACCATTGTAGAAAAGGGCCAGAAGACTTTAAGAGTCAGAGGTGGAGGAAGATTTAAGGGAAACATGTCTTCTGGATGTGAAAGGACCATTATACTCATGGATTCAAAGCAGCTGTGGTAACCTGTACAGGACCTGTACAAGATCTAGCCAGTCAGCATGGAAGAAGCAGAGTATCAGGAGCCCCCACCCCTCTTTAAGGAGCCAATCAGAGTCATGGCTTCTGGGGGAGGAGGAGTCATTTTTCCTCAAGTATGTGATCCCTGATTGGTTGAAGATGTTGTAGTGGATGGCACTACATCACAAGTAACTGTAGAGCACAAATTGGAATAAGTGGGTGTAGTGATATATTGTGTACCCTAATAAAATTTGCCTGAAGATCAGAGAACAGAACAAGCCACTAGATTAAACTTAGATGCCAGACAGTAGTGGTGCACACCTTTAATCCCATCACTTGGGATCTCATGCCTTTGGTGGGAAACACACACGCCTGTAATCCCAGCACTAGAGAGGTTTAGACAGGAAGTGATATGACAGGCCAGGGAAAGTTAGATAAGGTGGGAGGAGACAGGAACTTTAGCCTTTTTGGCTGAGGAAGCTCATTCAGCTAGAAGCCTATCAGCTGAAGCTTTTCAGGCTGAGAAGTCCTAAAGGTAAGAGTTGGCTTGTTCCTCTGTCTCTGATCTTCAGGCAAATTTTATTAGAGTATTCAATATATCACCACAAGTGGGCTATTAAAAAGGGGGCAGGAAGTTGTAGGGGAGGTGGGGATGGAGCTGGGAGGAGAAGAGGATGAATATGATCAAAATACATTGTACACATGTATAAAATTCTAAAAAATATACTATTAAAAAGAAGTGTAAAGTAAAATAAATCACACAATACTGGGTAATAAGTTAAATCATTCTGACATTTTTATAGGACACAGAAAGACAGCAAATGTGCACACATATAGAGATAACTCATAGTGTTTTCTATGTATGTAATTTAAGAGTAAACTGTTGAGTTAAAGAAGAGGAGATGATCAGGAAAGTCACTGACTTGGACCCACATCCTGAGTTTGACACATTTCCCAGCATATAGTGTTCAACAACTGTGTGTTAGGGGCTGGGGATGTAGCTCAGTTGATAGAGTGCTCACTTAGAGTGCCTGAAGCTCTGGGTTCAATCCCCATCACTATCCCAAACCAGGCATGATGGTGTACACCAGTTGTCTCAGACTCTGGTGGTAAAGACAGGAAGAGCAGAAGTTCAAGGTCATCCTTGGCTCCTTACCGAGATTGGAGTTTGAAGACAACCTAGAATGCACATGATTCTGTCTCAAACAAAACAAAATAAAATGTGTTGATTGAAGGGCAAAGTTATCCTTCCAATGGGTCCACTACCAGTCAGCACCATGATGGTGACATTAAGTTGGAGTAAGCAAATAAAGGCGATTCTGGAAGATTCCACAAGTGCCATTTGTAGATACTACAGAACAGACTAGGAACTGTTCCCTCCACTCCATCCGGGCCCAGTAAAACCAGTAGGTGGCCATTAGAAGACAGAGCCACTGTCACCTTGGGTAGCATTGTGTAGACTGCTACCAGGGGAACCCCCAAGTTTATTGCCAGCGGCAGTGGAAAAGCATTGCTTTGAATGCTTTTTCCCCCTACCTAATTGTCAAAACTGAATAATATTATCAGCTTTTTTTTATCCTTTGAGTATTTTTCTAATAAGAAAGCACAGAGATACACAGCAAATAAAAGCGTAAGATTCCAGGATGCAGTGCAATCATGCAAAATGACTTTCATATCAGTTTGATAAGCAGCTGAAATTTAATAACTACATCCCTCCTATGGCGCTGGATGAAAGTCTAATTCTCTGCTTCGGCCTCTTTCTTCTGCAAGATGCTATTCAGGACCGTTGCTGAGGCTTTTTTAGTCAGAGAGAGGAGAGGTGCAGTGGATTAATCAAAGCCTCAAGAGAGAGAGGTTGGGCCGAGCTCCAGCCAGGCCAAAGCACAGTGAACTAAAACCAAGCCTAAGGCTGCCCATGACCATGGGGAGATGGTTCAAGTACCCCCGTTGTCTCAGAGCTACAGGTATGAGTCATCGCCGTGGAAAGCATAACCCTCGTTAAAAGCTGTGGAATAACTAAGTCTCCACAATATCTTTGCATCTTAGTTTAAGGCAAATGATGCACTGGGGGCGGGGGGGGGGAGGGA